TAGAAGCATGTGGGTAGCCTCTCCCCACTACTAGGATTTATCTGCACTTTTGGTGAACTTTTCTGAATCTGAACAGATAGGAGAAATGAATACCAATTTTGCAAATCAACATGTTAAATCTAAAGCCAAAGGAAGAGAGATTTTCTTGAGATGTTCACCAAGTCACCATTTAGTTTTCCCTTGGTCAGGAGCAGTGCAATACTCTTCTCTACTTCTCAGTAGCAAACTTCCCAGTTTGCTGAAATTTTCCATAAAAGGGTGGATGGGAGCAGTGGACTATATGACTCTGTCTCAGCTTGTATGATGAGCAGCATCACAGTCATAAGACCCTAAAGCACGCAGGTACCTACTGTTGGATCCTTCCATTTATTGAGCTGCTCCAGAGCCAGAGATCTGGGAACTTGTTTGTCCTTGCATCTGGGTGGATCATGACGGATGCCTACTAGAGGCGGAGTTACTGTGTATTTGCTCACAACATAGATCACTTGATCAACAGAGAAAGAAGACAGCATGCAAAGGTGACCCCATATAACTGGGCAACGTGAATTATTAACGTGTCTTCAAGGGTAGCTGAAGCCATTGACTGATAGCCTTTTCTTGCATCTCTAAAAATCCACTAAAATATAAAATTATTTACTTGTGTCTGTGAACCTGAACCCATACATTTCTTTGGCCCATGGACAATTCCAGTATTTCTTGACAGAAGAGATGATCCTTTCTTAGGGGGGGAATAATTTCTGCTCTCAGGTACACCACCATGATTGGAGCTGCAGAGATCCCCTCAGGATTCATGGAGTTAATTAGCACCTGTAAGCTCCGTTCCCTCACAAGTTCCTAGAGTTTAGATTCAGACTTATCTAAAACAAGCTAATATCCCAGGTCCAGTGCAACCAGGACTCAGACCAGAAGAGGGAAATCAGTCTGCTCAGGTGACACTGCTGGATGATCTCCTACCCCTTTCCTGACAGTTAGATGTGAGATAGGTGGTGATGTGATCAAGTGCATCAGATTCTGGAAGGAATTCCCTGGTGGCACATTGCAGATGTACCAGAGCACCCTTGAAATGGCAAGAGCCATAGAGTCCATTTTTTTCTCAGTGCTTTTAATCACCTTCAGTCACTAAGTGAATTCAAGCACCAGAATGATGCAACTGACACTTAGCTGTGCTATCCACCATCACCCAGGGCCACATTGTACCTCTAAGAGGGTCCATGAAATGAAAGGGATAACTTCTCTACAGGAATAATGGATATCTAAGCTTCTGTATAACTCACTGGATTGGGGAAGGCAAAGTTAGCCATTTCCTGAGAGGGTGGATTTAACCACCATTGAATATAAGGAACAGCAGCATGCATTTTTAAGACACATATGCTGGTTGTGGAGAACTATAATGTATGCTGTCCATTGAAATATCATCTATTGGCTGCACTACTTTGCTTCTAACTTTGTTTCTTTTATATGTAAAGTGTTTTGGACTGTATTTGATCTTGGCAGAACATGAAATCCTTGCAGGCACTTTTCAACTGATGTATTTATTAAACAAGGGAGCCCCTGGTGGTCTAGTGGTTAAGGGCGCGGCGCTGTCACCGCCGAGGCCCGGGTTCGATTCCCGGTCAGGGACACTCTCCGGGCAGATGGAGCTCGTTAGCCCTGTAAGGCAATCCATCTACGTCCTGAGGACCTTGCTGCCACCGTCCAAGCTTGCTTGGCCCCGGCAGATGAACTCTAGGATTAAAGGGTGGGCTCAGTTCCGCGCACACTGTGTCTCACCTAAAAAATCCAATGCGCAGGCTGGAAGGTGTAAAGACCTTCCCCGGATCTTCACTTGCGAAGACTGGCCATTATTATTTATTAAACATGAGGGAAAATACTGTCTGGATTAGGCACGGATTTTGAAACTGAATCAGAACTATATTTCAAAGGTACACAGTCTCATTTAGAGGAGTCATCACTAAAATAATGTTTTCTACTACCTCCTTTGTAAAGATCTCTCCAACCAATTTTTACAATAAAACTGGGTTTTTTAGAGTACAAGAAGTATTCAAAAAATAAGTATACAAAAATTCATGCAACCTACAAAGGTAGAGAAGTGGAAATTGGAGAAAAAGTGCTGGAAGCAGACTGTGTCGTTAGTTAATTCTTTAAGGAATTTAAAGATGCTCAGAAGCAGAATTCTGAAGTCAGTTCTAATTAACATGACAAAAAGCACTCTCCTGAAGCTCATCTGTGGTGGGGTGATCAAGACTGGGCATCAGGTGTCCACCAAACTGCTCTATCCTCTCTTTCTCAGCTGGACCTGGGAGAGAAAATATGACCAAAGTTTTTTGGGTCAAGATAGGGACATGAAAACATCACTCACCAATTACTGTCATGTGGAAAACAGACTTGACTTGTGGAAAATTTTATTTAATTTATTGCTAATCAAATCACAGTAAGCAAGATATCGAAAAATAAGAAAAAAACCACCCCTTACAACACTTTCCCTCCATGTCTCTCTTCTTTCTGTGCTTGACTTTATTCACGAATTCTCTATTGCCTTCTCTCCAGTGGCACAGGGGGATGGGGAAACAGGTTTGTGGTCAGTTCATTTCACATTGTACCTGCTGTTCCTTTCTCCTCACAAGGAGGACTCCTCGCACCCTGCCCATGCTCCAGCATGAGATCCCTCCCCACAAGAGATAGTCCTCCAGGACCCATGTGGGTCCTTCACATGGGCTGCAGTTCTTCATGAACTGCTCCAGTGTGGGACCATGGGGTCCTTTAGGAACAGGCTGCTTCAGACTAGGTCCTCCAGGGGTCCCAAGTTCTTTCAGCAAACCTGCTCCAGCATAGGCTCCTCTCTCCACAGGGTCACAGGTCCTCCTAGGAGCCTGCTTCAGTGTGGCCTTCCCATGGGGTCACATGCTCCTTTGGGCATGTCCATCTACTCTGGTATGGGGTTCTCCATCTCTGATCCACCTTGGACCTCCATGGGCTGCAGAGGGACAGCTCCCTCACCATAGTCTGCACCATGGGCTGCAGCAGAATCTCTGCTCTGGTGCTTGGAGAACCACCTGCTGCTCCTTCACCAGCCTTGGTGTCTGCAGACCTGTTCTTCTCACATATTCCTCATCCTCTCTTGGGCTGCTGTTACTATTGCACAGGTTTTTCCCCCCTTCTTCTTGAATATGTTATCCCAGAGGTGTTACCACTGTCACTGGTGGGCTCAGCTTGGCCAGTGGTGGATCTGTCTTGCAGCAGACAGGCACTGCCTCCATCAGACACAGGGGAAGCTTCTGGCAGCTTCTCACAGAAGCCACCCACTAGCCCCCTGCTACTAAAAACTTGCCAATACATTATGAAAGCCATGCAAGTCCTCATGTTCACCTTGCAGGAACTTGGTGCACTTCCAGCTTCTGTCTTGAAAAATATATTACAGCATGGTCTTTACAAAGATAGCGCAATGTCCAGAGCCTCTGAAGCTGCCATGAAGGTCAAAGCTCAGCACTTACCTACAAACATGGTGTTTGGCATAGTAGCATACTGTGTTTTTTCTAGCGTCTTTCTTCCAGATGTGTGGACTGAGAAACAGCAAAATAGGTTAAAATGAAGAGGGTAAAGTCAAATAGTGTATTTTACTCACTACATTAAACCATAACAACCTGAGACATGTTGCTAACCTGAGTAAGCAGCATTCCCTGTCCCTACATCTGGTGTAGGAAGTGCTCTTCCCTTTCTTTTTTCTGTTTGGAGGTACCGCTATGAATACTGTATTTGAGGATTATAGGTCAATTGTAGGTGGTGTTATGCTGTGCAGTCCTTCCTTTCAACAAATGAAATCCCACTGGCTTTGCCCTTAGTCTGCAGGAACATTGCTTCTGAGCTGGGAATAAGCATGATTGAACAGAAATGGAAAAGCAGAAGTATACTAAAGCAGATAAACATCTGCTTTAAAACTGATTTATGGCTGTGATCACCTTCAGTTTGTTGCGAAGCTGCAGAGAATTCACATCAGTTAACAAATGGCAATACTCGGGTTACACATCACCAGTACTTATCAAACTTGTGTTGCTACAGTGTCATTTCATCTTAGATCTGGGATGCATCCCATGCTTTACACACACAGGTTGGTCTCTAATAGAAGTTCAGCAGGTATGGACACTTCTGCCACAAAGGAAGACTGCGAATATCCAGAGTATTCAGCCTGAAGAAGAGAATGCTCTGAGTCACCCTTATTGCAGCCTTCCAGTACCTAAAAGGGAGCCTACAAGGAAGCTGGAGAGGGTCTTTTTACAAGGGCACATAGTGACAGGACAAGGGGTAGTGGCTTTGAACTGAAAGAGGGTAAATTTAGATTGAATACAAGGAAGAAATTCTTTACTTGAGGATGGTGAGGCACTGGAATAGGTGGTGAGGCACAGAGAAGTTATAGATGCCCTATCCCTGGAGGGTTTCAAGGCTGGGTTGGATGGGGCTTTGAGCAACTTGGTCTAATGAAAGGTCTCCCTGGCCATTGCAGGGGTGTTGGAAATAGATGATCTCTAAGGTCCCTTCCAACCCAAGCCATTCTATGATCCTATGATTTAGAAAAGCCCCATAATCTGCCCTTGGGAAAATCTCAGGTACTGTGTGGTGTTGCTTATCTGAAAAAACATGGGTGAAAAAGCAGCAGGGCAATGTGTATATTCAGATGCTCAGAGCAGGGCCTGTTGGACATGTCTGTGCATCTTGTGGGGTTCTCTGTCACAGATGTCTGCTTGAGAATGGGGTTTGTGTGGCCTTTTGCCATGGGTTTTATGATCTTGCCCCATGTTCATCTAAGACTCAAAAAGACTTCCAAGATCACTGCAGTACTTCATCACTGTCTATAATTATCTAGAGGGTGGGTGTTAAAAGGATGGAGCCATGCTGTTCTCAGTGGTGCTGAGCAATAGGACAAGAGGCAGTGGGTGGGTGATCGAGCACTGAAACAGATTTCCCAGAGAGGTTGTGGAGCCTCCCTCACTGCAGACATTAAAAACCCACCTGGACACAATCCTGTGCCATGTGTTCTGGGATGACCCTGCTTGAGCAGGGAGGTTGGACCAGATGACCCACTGTGGTTCCTCCCAACCTGACACATTCCATGAGCCTGTGGTTCTGTGAAGTGCAGTGGGGGAGCAGCAGGACAACAAGTCAGGTGAGTTTAATCAGGTTTGTTACTCCAACCTGAGAGGGGCATCACAGGCCTCGGGGAGGTTAAGCAAGGGAGGACGGAAGATGTTCTCCCCAGAGAACATTTTCGCAGCCGTTCTGCTTCACAAGGAGAGATGAAAACGGTCACAATAAAATGTTAATAAATGAATTGTAATGTGACAGTCTACAATATGGTGAATGATAATAGCACAAATTTCCTCTGAAATCGGGAGACAGGGAGATAAAACGCCAGCAAAGTGGTTTATTGGCCGTCTATGCGGAGCTGTGCCCACACGGTGACTCACAGGGCACCCCTTCGGCCATCGACTGCTCCGGCCGTGCCCGGCCCCGCCCGCCAGCGGGCGGGTCTCGGCGCGGCGCTCGATTGAGCGGCCTGTGCCTGACTCGGCGGTGGCGGGGGGAGGCGGCCGGGGCGCTCCCGATGCTGCGGTGGCTGATCGGCGGCGGCCGGGAGCCGCAGGGCCTGGCCGAGGTGAGGCTGCCGAGCCTTAGGCTCGGGGCTGGCGGTGCCGTGAGGGCGGGATGCGCTGGGCCGTGGCGTTTCCCGCGGGGTGGGTCTGGGCCGTGCTCCGCGCCGGCTCTCGGCCTGCGGGGCCTTTGGGCTGACAGAACTGGTTATGGGCTTAGTGGAGGAGAAGGAGGGGAAGGCAGAAGCACAGAAGCGAACCTCGCGTACTGTGTCCAGTTCTGGGCCCCTCAGTTCAGGAAGGATATTGAGGTGCTGGAGCGTGTCCAGGCAAAGGCAGTGAAGCTGTTGAAGGGACTGGAGCACAAGTCCTGTGAGGAGAGGCTGAGGGGGCTACGGTTGTTTAGTCTGGAGAAGAGGAGGCTCAGGGGAGACCTCATCACTCTCTACAGCTACCTGAAAGGAGATTGTAGCCAGGTGTGGGTCCGTCACTTCTCCCAGGCAACAAGTGGCAGGACGAGCGGAAATGGCCTCAGGCTCCTCCAGGGGAGGTTCAGGTTGGACATCAGGAAAAATTTCTTCACAGAAAGGGTGATTTGATATTGGAATGAGGTGCCCAGTAGGGTGGTGAATTGATTCTGTGAAGAGCAGAACACCCACGCTGAGCTCTCCCGGGAGCTGTTGGAAGCATCCCGGCTCTCTCCCCCCTTATTGGCGGGGGTTGTGTTGTGTAGCTGCAAGAACTGCGTGTACGTCCTGCCCTCAATGAGACTGATAATATAAATTGTAGGCAGTGACTTGTTATTTGCAGTAACTTCTTATTTACGTGTCATAGTAGTTCACAGTAGTCTTCTAGCACTTCTTAGTTTCTCATCCATGAAACACAGTTTGTTACATAGTGCACAAACATAGTGCACTGGCATCCTTCCTGCTACTTGGGTTAAGAGTTTTACTAGATTTGGGGGAGAGATTGTTGGGATTTTCATGTCTCTAAGAGTCTGGTGAAGTTCTCAGACACTTAACAATAACAATGTCAACGGGCTTCATACACATAGTGCTTTTGTAATTTAGACAAGTATGAGGAAGTAGTTATTTTCCAGCTGCTGTTCATGAGCAGGTCATGCCAGTGTCATGGATGACTTCAAATGCCAGTACTTACTTTGGTGGAAGCTTGCATTTGTGCCAGTTTGGAATGACGACATGTGGGAATGTCTTTGACTTTTGTGACCAGTCAGAATGTGGGTTGCATTGCAGTCATATTTAACAGATTTGTGTGCAGTTGTTTCTGAAAGGAGGATGGGAAACATGATGCAGTTTTGTAAGATGTGCTAGAATGTGAATCAAGATGTGGCCCAAATCTTCCATTCTGCCATTCATAGCTTGGTTAAACCTGATCCACAGGACTTTTGTTCTCATTGTTAGCACTGTTTTGTGGAATGACTGTAATAATTTTGCTTCTCTGAGGAAAAACTGTATAACAAATATTGCTAAGGGGTAGTCCCTAAACTTCCCCCTTCCCCCCCCCCCACTTTATGATATATTGTTTCAGCTAATGATCTTCATAACTAGTTCTTAAATAGGTAAGAAAGCCCATAGCAGTGTGTGGGCTGTGGATTTAGGGTGTTTCATGTGGTATGACTTCAGACAGATGTGTTGAGGGGCATTACACTGGGTGAATAGAGAAAGTCTCTAGCAAGGCTATCCTGAGTTCATGAAATGTAAATTTCTCCTTGCCCATTTTTATTTTTACAATGGAATTGAAAGTAATTTAGACTTAAGCTCCTGAATATCTTCAGCTGATGGTCATGGTATCATCTTAGGCAGGGTGGTTCTGGAAGTGGAGGCATCTAAGTGGGTCAATGGCCGTCATGGCCAGTAGTAGCTAATTTATCATGCTCCATGGTGCATAAAATCAGTATGTATGTGTACTCCTGTGTTCCATGTTTTTGGTGAATTGCATTTGAAAATCCTACTTTTAAACACTTTACATCATGGGAATTTATAGGAAGTTTTGAAGTTTGGATTAATATTTTGTGGTGTGGTTTTTGTTTGTTTGTTTGTTTTTGTTTTTGTTTTTTGTTTGGTTTGGTTTTTCTTTTTTTTAACTGATTACTGTAGTGATGCTTACAGGTCCTGCATAAAAACATGCAAGTTGGGAATGGATTCCATTGGCATCACTCTTCAGCTTTCCCTTCTAAAAACATAATTGCTGTAAGAGAGTCCAATTAATAGTTTCTAAAAAAAATAGATTTCTTCAGAGAAAGAATCCTCATGTAAATATTTGGTAAATTTGGTAAATATTAATGTATGTTTCCTCAGTACAGTATTGCAAATGTACTGAGATTTGCTTAGAATATTTAGAATTCATTTTTTTAAGGCATGTTTTGATTACCTTTTAACAGGCTGAACTCCAAGTTTTCAAGTTTGTCCCAGCTTCTCTTTCTATCTGTGCAGATTCTACTTGCATTATTTTAAAAGGAAACTGCTATTCCCATGTGATTGCATAAAATGAGGAACAGTTTCTTCATGAAATGCATCAGATAGCACAAACCTAAGATAAAATCACAAGAGCTTAATTTAAAAATTAAGAACTCCTAATTTTTTCAAAATAAACAGAGGTTTCTTTTGCCATTTTTCAATCTTGTTATTCTTAGTTTATGAAGACCAGTATCATAGTAATAGAAAATATCAAAGTAATAGAAAATAATTTATTAATCCTGCTTGAAGATGTTCCAATTTCTGAGAATAATACATTTGTCCTTGCTGTGATATTACCTATCATGTGTGCTGCCTTCTGTACAGTGTTCTGTAGTTACCTTTTTACAGTGTAGGTTCTGCTAAAGTCCTCAAAGAGGAGATAGTCTTGGAAGTAAGATGATGTTGACTGCTGTGTAAAATAAATCCAGAAGGAGAAGAGTGCTGCCACAGAGTTACTATTGAGCTGTTTTGTTTTTTTAAAAAGTAGTGTCTAATAGTAAGTTTTTTCACAGTATATAAGACCTTAATTACAAAAAAGTTGTCTTGAAACAAACTGATTGAGATTAGCAGAACTATTATTCCTTGAAACTGCAGTTCTGTGCAGTATTTTATTGACCCTATCTGATGATCAGCTTGCTTCAAGTGATTGATTGTCCTTTTAATTAATAGTCTAGGTGGGGGTAATTACAAATGCTGTTCTATAAAATGATTAATCATTCTCTACTTTTTTTTAACCGATTGGCTTTGGTATTTTCTGAATAGAGTAGCAATGGATGATTTATATATTATGTAACAGAACAGCATTTGTTCTTATTTGTTTTAAATATGTTGTCTTTATATAGGATTTTAAAACTGAACAGCAGATGAAAGATATGAGAGGTTCACAAACCTCTCATAAGATATGTAATTTAATGAAAACCTGAGTGTATGGTGAATTGAGTCATGAAGCTGGCTCCACATGACAGCTCATAACCAAACTGGGTTTTCATCATGCTGTATTAGCAATTAAAGCAGTACAAAATGCTTTGTTAAACAGAAAATACCATATTATAATTTAAAATGCATGCAATAGAAAGCTATTATTTACTTGAAATAGTAAGAAATTATATATTTTTTAACGATTTTCATTAAGGCAAAATGGTATTTCAGGAACTTCACACATGAGTCTGTATGTAGATTGTTAGAGGTTACAAAGACCTGATGAAAATAATTATGTAATTACCAAATTTTAACTCATTTTTTATGAATTTTAGAAATCCTCTGTACAGACAGTTGGTGAAGAACAAATACAGAATCCTTACACGGAGCTCCTTGTGTTGAAAGGTCATCAAGATATAGTACGATTTCTAGTGCAAATAGATGACTGCAGGTATGAAATACCATTTCAAATTGTTTCACAGTGTCCTTGACAATACTTCAGAGAATATTTGTGAAAATGTAGTAATATTTGTAGTATTCTCTTTTTATTTCTGGTGGGGGAGGGCAAGAAAAACTGGAGTTATAAAAAGTGAGGGATGAACACTCCCTTTTCTTGGTATGTTACTATGTCTTTTGGCTTCTTTTGTAAATTTTACTTTAATGAGAACATAATGGTGAATGAGTTGTTTCTTGGTGCCAAGTCATTTGTTTGGAAGAAATGTTCTTTTTAGTCTGTTCCTTTTTGAGTGTTCCTTCTGTACATGCATATGGACCCTTTCTCACGGGACAACATGCAGTAGTGTCCACTTCTGCTCTGAGAGGATACATGTGTTTTGTGTTTCTGAACTGAGAATAGCTGTTATTCACCTTTTGGTTCTATGAAAAATTGTAATAGGCTCCTTTAGATACACTGTAGCAATTAGACATGACATCTTCAGCAATACTGAGCGTTGGTTGCTGTTCCTTTCTTTCCAATCTTCTGCTGCACTTTCTTCCGAAGCTACAGTACTTGACTCAGTTGAGCTTTAGTTAATGCAGGGTTTTTTAACTTTTCAAATATTGACATTGTCATCACATTATTCAGAATGACTGCTTAGCAAAATTCATCATATGCCTAATCTCTGCATTTCGTTTCTCTTCCAATTTGATCTGATTCAACTGGCTGTACTTCTTTGAAACCTGATTTTTCCTTTGTTTCTCTCGGTCAGTTTTCAGCTATGAAGCAGAGATGAAGTTATTGTATTTGCCTTTGTCACTTTGGAAGTGTAACTGAGAGAATGAATTATGATAGTTGTACATTACAACTGGCTTCTGTTCTAGTTTTCTCTAAATTAGCCTTACATGTTCTTTAATTATACTTGATCCTACAAGAGAAGAAATAATTATCTGCCTTAAAAGTAGGGTTGTGAATTCTTTAGTCAGTAATAAAATGTAGTGACTCTTGGCTGATGTGGAGAATAAAATAGAAAACGTTTAAAGATTAAGAATGTAAGTAACAGGCAAGAACAGTTATGGTAAGGAGCTGTAGTAATTTATATCTTTTATGGATTAGATTCAGAAGGGAATTTCTAATATATTCATCAATACACTACACAAAGTTAACATGGATAATAACTTGTTTTAATCCTAGCAGTGTATAGCAGGTGTTTTGTGAAGGAAGGTTGTGTTCTTCCCCATGCATATTGATTGGAAGAGATCATGCAAGTGGTCTCTTCCAATTCAGGAATGCCCACAGAATCCTGTTTTCTAATAAGATTCGTAATATATATATATATATATATATAAAAATATAAATTTCACAAAAGAATGCAGGCAGGATCTTTAGCATGTCAGTTTTTATCGTTAATGTCATAAATATATATATCACGAAAGTTACGTGCGTTACCATAAAATTTAGTTTTCTGCATTGTAGTAGTCTGCCAGAAAATTCCTATAAAAATGGAAAACTCTTGTGGCTTTTCTTCAGTGCTTTTTTTCCCAGACCAGTTATTAAAATAACTCTTTATCAAACTATGTTTTCTCAAAACACATACTGAATAGATGTAATTGATTTTTATAGAAATACCAGAGTATTCTTAAGTTGCTGTGTGATGCAAATAAATTGTTTACCATTTTGAGCTTCTTTCTCTGGTGGCAGGTAAATTACTGAAGCTAAACTAATGATAATCATTGTAAAGCTAAAGTCTGGGTGGCTGCATTTAATATAGGCTGTAACATAGCATATGGATAAGGAGTAAGTTATATAGCTGGTTAATATTCTGAGAGTTTGAGGAGTTTAATAGAGTTGCTTCACTGGGCAGTAATTCTGAGTTTTTATTTATCAAGAATATGGTATTTTCTGGATTGTTAAACACCTGATAATATTATTCACTTGATTCTTTTCAGTAAAATTAGTATTGTTACTCAGCTTCTGAAATGTTTTTATTTAGTTTCTGCAGCTATTCCATTGTGTGCTTTTTGTCAACTATTGTAAGCCAAATTTCACGCTTCAGATCTTTAGATAATATCATCTTAGTGAGAATTTTGCAGAAGGATTTTCTTGTTTTCTCAGTGGCTCAGCTAAAACCAGTGAGTGGAAAATTTTCTCAGATTGGTTTTTGAAGATACTAAATAAATCCTGTATGAATGTAAGAGAAAGCTGGTGAGCTTTTTTTTTGCTTTTTCTTTTTTTTTTCTTTCTCCTTTGCTCTTGTACTTTTTGAACATGAAGTAGGGGTCATATTGATTGGAAGATCACTAAGAAAGACTAAGCCTGAGCAAGGGTCTTCCAAAAAGTGGACTGAAATAAAATTGCATGTAACACTCTAGCATTTGGCACATTAAATTAAACAGAGTTCTGTTGCAGTATGCTTTTGTTATAGAAAAATATGCTGAAGTTTTAATGTTGTTATAGTGACTATGCTTCCAAAATGTTGTTATAACTCTTTGTGTAAACCTTTCTCCTTCCCAAGATCCCTCACTATACTTTGGAACGTCCTGAGAGATAACTGAAAGCCTACCTATTGGTTGTTAACCCTTTGTTATCATGGGTTGTTTGTAAGACCTCCTGGACTCCTAATGGTTACATTGTGATCCCCCCCAAAAGTATTTAAGCAGTTACGAGAACAATAAAACTCTCTATGCCTGCTCACCCTGCTAGCAGCTCGTCTCCTGGTCTCTCTGGGGGCCCTGGAGACCACGTGGTGGGAGGGGATGGAGGGCATGCGCCCCCCGGAGCAAGGGGTAAAAAGAAAAGCCTCTTGCCTGGGGTTTCCCCTCCCTATCCACCTTCAACGTTCGTCAGAGTTCATAACACATTTTAAGAATAGTTTTTTTTGTTGCTCATTTGACCATCCCTTGCTCCTTCAGGAAACAGACAAGATGTGATCACCAGATGATGGTGATATTGACTGCAAAAAAATGAGGTGTCCCATAAGGAGCATATGTAGGCACATGGTTAGATACTCATTGTAACCTAGAGAAAAAGATTAAATTCAAGTCAGATTTTGTTCATGTGAGATTAACATGCTAATCTGAACTTGTGTTTTCTTCATATGGTATGCCTTTCATGTGGATTTTTATCAGAAGTCAAATTTAGCACCTTAAATGTGCTGCCCTTTGAAGTTCTTTTAAGCCACACTCTAAGTTGCAATGGTAAATCCTGATCTACTCTGTTCCTGGGCTGAACTCAGATGAGTGGTTTGTACTTGTTAGATGTCTTACAGTTGACTCTGACTAATAGTGTTTGGTTTTAGAGTTCACTGTTATTTGGTGTTTAAGAGCTCATATTTTTAAACAAGAGAATTGGTTCTTTTATGTGGGATTCTTTTTATAGTAGTACATATTAGAATTCTTACATCGTGTTCTTATATTAAGTGTATGTTGAGAAATACCTATTCAAATGTACTGACTTTAGAAACTATAATTGGGATTTACAAATATATTTATTCTGTAAAGACAGTCTGATATATCTTGTAAGTATTTTTTCTTCCATAACTGTTTACTGCTTTTCCATTACATTATGCTATACTGAAGTTTTCAGTTTGTTACGATTTTTTGTTTCTTTTTCTTCAGGTTTGCATCTGCAGGAGATGATGGAATCGTATGTCTGTGGAATGCTCAGGTTAGGTGATTTTTTGGGGGCTAGCTTGTGTGTTCTGAAGAGGGTAGAAGTTGTGGAGAGGACTTAGAAATGCCTAGCAGTGAAAAAGCAGAATAAATAAGAGTTGCTGCAGAGCTGTTTGAAAATGTACAAGTGGAGGGAGCCTGTTAAATTTTAGTTTATAAAGGAGAGTTAGGATATGAAAAACTGTGTGAACTCAAGAGAAGGATAAGTTTTGAAAGTATAATGTTTTGGAAAGACATAGTGATTTTAGAGAGATTTTATATTAAATGATAATGTGAAAAGGAGAAGTGTGTATGAATGTGTGCCTTTAATTACTCTTTAGAAGTGTGTTGTGTGTTTGCAGTTAACACCAAAATGTTGACTAGTAACTCAATAAATATGTAAGAAGATCCAAGCCTGCCAGGATTTTTATATATACTTAAGTTTTAAATTGTTTCAGGTTTTTTTTTTTTTTTACAAGTGTGGGTATAACCCTCGAGCCTGCGCAGTGCATTTTTTTAGGTGCATCAGCGCGCTTGTAGCAAGCGTGGGTAGAGCCCCTCTCAAATCTTCGTTCACGAAGCCCAGCCGTGATGAAATTGTTTCAGTAGCTTTACTAGTGATACCTCTTTGTGGTATAACTGATTAGGCTAAATGGTGAGCTAGCACAAAAATGTATTGGAAAGAAACCAAAGGCAGTAGAAGTTCAACATTTCATGCAGTGCAGGAACAGGGCCTTAAGTGCTTGCTGTGATAAAAATCTTGTAACTTTTGAAAACCTTACAAAGGCATTAGTTTTATCATGGAAGTGATGCTCTGTTAGTGTGACATCTGCTGATCTGGTCTTCTGCTCCGTATCTCTGTATCATTGACAGAATTGTAGAAGGGTTGAGCATTAGACCTGTTGTAAGCCAAATTGTGTTAAGGAGGTCTGGTATGTAAGTTACATTGTTCAATAAGAAGTCTGAAGGGGAGACATGCTGTACTGTCTAAAGTGTATCAAACATTCAAATTGAGGAAGAAAAAAATGTCAGACTGTAAATTTTTAAAAATATTCTGAAAAATTTATGTGACATTTATGATGGTGTAATTTTAAAATACAGAAGGGGAGACTTGAAATGTCTCTTGAGCAGTTTCAGTTACTACTTTGCTGTTGTTAAGGGCCTTTTGTAATTTTTTAATTCTATAATTTGGAAAAGGAGTTTTGAATATTAAAACCTATATATGTGATTATATATACCCAGTGTTCTGAGCAGTTTGTGAATGTAAAACTCATTTAGATATTGAGCTTATGAACTGAGTTCCATTTTCTATTTCTGTAGGATTTGTAATAATTTAAAACAGTAACTCACAGCTGTAAAGAAGTTTGCTGCTAAACTTACCTTGTGTTTTAGTTGTGTGTTTAAAATGCCAGTGTGCTTCTGCATGTTTGTTTGTGGAGTTTTGCTGTCTAAACATAGCAGAAGTAGCTCCGGTTTTCTAAAGCACCATCTTAAATCTATAGATAATGTATATACTAAACAAAGCTGGCAGGAAGTTGACAGTACTGTGTTTACCATAAACATAGGTCAAGTTTTTCTAGTAATTAAAAAAAAAAAAAAAAAAAAAGGACTTTTTCAAGAGAGGGTTTATCAACAAATTTGAATTACCATAGTATTCATGGGTGAATGGCCAATGTTTGCATTAAAATTAAATAAATTTAATACAGAATTTAGTTCTTAAGGGCTTTTAGAGGGTTTTTTACTCTCAGAGTAATTTGCATTATGTCCTTTAAGCCTATGCATAGTATGTTATTTAATCTTGAATAACATTGAAGGTAGTAAGAAGCAAATCCATAAATTACTTTAGAAAGGAGGATTTTAGACTCTTAAAAATTCTTGCTTTCAAAAGTTATGTGATACCTATGTTTTATGCTACAGTAGGCATTTTACATATTTTACATTTAGTTTTCCATGGTTTTGTTTTTCAGACTGGAGAAAAACTTTTTGAACTTCATGGACACACACACAAAATTACAGCTATAGCACCATTTTCTTCGTCAGATTCTTTTGAAGAAAGAAAACATTTGATTATAACAGCCTCAGCTGATAGAACAGTTATTGTATCCTTTGATCTGGAGAATATTCAAATTCCTATCAGCTTTTTTTTTTTCTTTTAAATGTAGCACTGAGACAGGCTGCAGGTGTCTCAAAATGTATTGGCCAATAATACCTACCAGGTGTAATGGGGTTACACAGGAGTTTTACTAGTTATTGCTCACAAGTAGATGCAATCCTTGCTACAAATATGAATCCATAACAGACCTTTATTAATATGCCATTTAAGCCAAATATTGAAAAGACAGTTAGAGTTTAGAAGACTGAGTCTCTTTCCTAATCTGTCAAAAACACAGCATTTATATTTATAATGCATAGAAACCCTTCAGTTTCCTTAATGAATAAAGACAGGTTTGGGACTGCACTAGTGGCAGACAGGTTCAGAAAGTGTCATGTTTCCATTCTACTGTAAAGGTAAGCTAAAGAAACCCTATGAATGTCTGTTGTGTTGTTATATACAATAATTGTTATGTATGGTTCGTGGGTCCTATGGTCACGGGTGTTAAAATGAACAGCTGTGTTTGGTGTGAGCAGTGGTACATAATGAGTGGCTGAGAAGTGGGTGTAAATCTTAATTTGTTTTTTGAACTCTTAATACCTCAATTTTCTTTTTGAAAGGACGTAGAACAAAGGTAACTTTATGGCTTGGTTCTGTTACTGTGTTGCAAAAGATAACCTACATTTAAAGTAGTTCTTGACTGTTAACAGGAGGAAAAAAGCAATGAAAAAATAGGTTTTTGCATTATTGATGAAAAATGTAACATATGTAATTAAATTTGTGTTTCTCAGGGAAGTGATACCCGGATACTGTGCTTCATGGTACTTACAGATTTATTTAACTAAAGCTCATGATCATTTAACTGAGAAATTCCCTGTAGAACTTTTGCAGGAGACATATATCTGATTTTTGTTCTGCAGTGTTTGACAGTTCTTCAAAGACTGGATGTATGGTTGTCTGGAGGGAGTGATCTATGTGTTTGGAACCGAAAATTAGATCTCTTGTGTAAGACCAGTCATCTTACTGATGCAGGTAAAAATGTAAATGACTCATTATAGCTATTAAAGTGCAAGTAAAATGGATCTGTATAATGATGCAAAACCAACTTGGCAGATTTCCTTTAATTCTAGTGATAACATTATGTATTAGAGCCACTTGCTCTTTTTTAAAATGTCAGACTTCATAGTTTCAGAATTAAGACTGCTTTTAATCTCCTGTGCTGTGTGAATTAAAGAGTATGTCAAATCTCAGTAACTGTACAATAGCTTGGACTTAGAGGGCTAGACCTTGGATACTGGTCTGTATGTGTTTGCTGTAGCATGTACCAGATCCTTTGACTGGCTTTTTGTGTGATCGAGTGGGAGTTCTATTACTCTGAAGTGAGCTTTGTAGTAGTGGAACAGTAGAGATTACTTTTTATTATTAAGAACCAGTACTTTTTATGTAGAAAATGCAGGTTTTGATAGGAATATAATAAATGTAATCAGATATCAATGTCAATCCTGCTTTTATATTAATAAACTTACATATTGTATGTCCATATGAAGAAAAATTGTTGCATGTTTATTGCCGTGCTTTACCAAGTAACCTGTGAAGCTGTGAATCACATTTAAAGGTGGAACTAATATTGTCCTTATTTTTATCATAGAATAGAGTAGTGGTAGGCAAAGCCTTCTGAATCTTTGAGGATATTAATACTTCTTTTGATTCAGTATTAAATGTTATGCTAAATGCCAGCTGAAAGTGGTGCTGTGGTGCTTTGTGTGAAGTGCTGTTGGAACTTTGGTACAAGGAATCAATGGGATGTGTAGCATGGGCCTTGTCTTCTATCCTAACTGCATGCTTCCTTTGTGGTGAAAGAGATTGCTTATTCCTTGGGGAATTTTTCTGTAATGGTGTGGTGGCACAGACTGGGAGAATTCTGTGCAGGATTAAGGCAGACTAACAGCAAGTTGGACATTTTATCTCAGGCCTTACTTTTCTTCAGCTGGCTCTGCACAGTATTTTAGAATTGTGTGTACTGAGGTATGTACAGTGTCTAATAACTTTGGTACTGCCTTTGTTTAGAATCTTAAAAATTGTCATGGTGTCCTTAATACTGTCCAGCATTAGGACATAAATATCTTAACTGTATTTAAAATAAAGAGATAATTTACTTTCAGTTTCACTGCAAGTTTGATGTTCACTGCTGGATTCAGGACCAAAAGTCCTGACCTCGCCTCTGTTTGAGATAATCTATTTAATTCTGGTGCCATTTAACTTTCATTTCAGGCAATATGCTTCTGTTTTGATTATAACTTTTTAAGTGGAAGAAAGATTGTTAAGAACTTTATTAATAAGGAGTTAACAATTTGCTGTGTTATAACCAGTGGTTTTCCTTTCCTCCCTTATCCCCTGGTTTTTTTTCAAAGGTATCAGTGCTTTGGTTGAATTGCCCAAAAATTGTGTTGCAGCAGCTGTTGGCAAACAGCTAAGTGAGTATGTTGCATTTCTGTGAAGTGTTCATGTTCCACTATAACAGCTGCTTATCAGAGATATGTGTAAAAAACACACTGCTGGAATTGTATACGAAAAGTAAATGGTATTAGTGTGTGATCAGCAACCTTCTTCCATTTCTTTACAAAGAGGAGACAATACTAATCTCATTAGGAATCTTGTAGATGAAACTTTTCTATCTTTAGAATCATAGAATCATTAAGGTTGGAAAAGACTTCCAAGGTATCAAGTCCAACCTTGAACACCACCATACCAATTAAACCATTGCACTAAGTGCCATGTCCAGTCATTTCTTGAACACCTCCAGGGATGGTAACTCCACCACATCCCTGGGCAGTCCATTCCAATGCCTGATCACCTTTTCAGTGAAGAATTTCTTCCTGATGTCCAACCTGAACCTCCCCTGCTGCAGCTTAAGGCCACTTCCTTTTGTCCTTTTGGGAGAAGATGCCAGTCCCCACTTCTCCACAACCTTCTCTCAGGTAGTTGTAGGGAGTCATGAGGTCTCCTTAAACCTCCTTTTTTCCAGGCTAAATGACCCTAACTCCTTCCTCTTAAGACTTGTGCACCAGATCCTTTCCTATCTGTTGCCCTTCTCTGGATGTACTCCAACACCTCAATGTCTTTCTTCAAGTGAGGGGCCCAGAGCTGGACAGAGCTGGATTTGAGGTGTGGTCTCACCAGTGGGATGGTCACTGCCCTGGTCCTGCTGGCCACACTGCTGATACAGACCAGGATGCCATTGGCCTTCTTGGCTACCTGGGCACACTTGATGGCTCATGTTGGTCAAGCAGGACCTGCCATTCTTAAACCAATGCTGGCTGGGCCTGGTCCCCTGGTTGTCTTGCATATGCTGCGTGATTACACTCAAGATAATTTGTTCCATCACCTTCCCTGGCACTGAGATCAGCCTGACAGGCCTATAATTCCCTGGATCCTCCTTCTGACCTGTCTTGTAAATGGATGTCACACTGGTCAACCTCCAGCTGACTGGACCTCCCTGGTTAACCAGGACTGATGATAAATGACAGAGAGTGGCTTGGCGAGCTCCTCCGCCAGCTCAGTCAGTGTTAGTGCCACCTGTCCAGATCTGACTGGGGCAACTGACATTTGTCCTGCTGAAGAAGGTCTGGGACTGCTTATCTGACCTGTCAGTTACTAGGATTCTCTAGAGCCTCCTTATCCCAGAATCAGAAGCTATAATGAGACAGTGTGATGATTTCTGTTGTTCAGTTGGAGATAGAATTATCTGTGGCTAGGTGTTGGTGGAGAGTCTTTTTGATAAGTGCTGTGTAAAATTATTGAAATTTCAAAATAAAGAATAAAATCCAAGAGCAAAAGTAGAACATTATATCAATGAAAAAGCAGATGTTGCTCAAGATGATTAAATACTTTGTTGAAAAATTAGCAACCTGATAGTTTGATCAAAGAATCAGGAACAAATTAAGAATAGTCCTCTTGTGTTTAGACATTGGTATACAATGTAAACTTCCATCTGAACTTCCCACACTTCTTTTGCAGTACCCTTGAGATAGAAAAGAAATTTGTAGCCTGGTTAAAATAAAGTCTTAATTCCTGACGATCTCAATTGCCTTACTAGAGAATATTGCATCCTTTTGAATATTAATTTTTCAGTGAGATGAGTCATCAAGAAACATTTGACTTTTAGTTCACTTATCCATAAAAATGTCTTATACTTCTCACTTCTGCTTTCTACAGCTTCTGATGTTGACCAGTTCTCTACATTTCAGAGTAACTAGGCTGAAATGTTTTATCCTAGAGTTGCAGTAGTGAGAGGCCTTAATGATAACGCTGAAATAACTCATTCCCATTTTTTGATGTCATGAGTGACCATAAATAGCTCTTATATTGTCTCACTTATGTTTTAGTTTGTGTCTCTCTGAAAATGATGTGTTTTATTATAGTTCCATCTTATTCTGAATGAAAGATCTTATTTAGACAATTTCTCTTTCTTTGAAGTAATTTTTAGGTTGAGTGATTCTAACAATGAATCTGAAGGTTGGAATGTCTTTGAAGTAAAGCGCCTTGTTGACCATCAGGATAACATTTTGTCATTAGTCAGCGTCAATGGTAAGAATTGTTTTATAATGTTACTGCTTTTGTTAGTTACCAGTGGGATAAACCTATGGAGTTTTTTCGGACCCAAGTTTTAACTGGAGTGAAACTACTTAACTAGTGGATATACCATCTTGTGTAGCTGCAAAGGTAGTGACATGTCAAAATATAACTTGTTTATGGATTAAAAATGAGACAAAATCAGGCAAGTTGCAGAGTAGAAGAGAGGTAATGTCATTGATGGAAATGGAGCTCTGAGTTTTCTTTCTGTTAGGAAAGTCAAAAAGGCTACTTTTCCCCTTGTTCCTTCTGACTCTTAAAATGGGATATGCAAGGCCATGTTCCTTGCAGTTGTCACAAGGTAACTGAAGATTCTGAGAGTGCAGATGTGGGCCTGCATAGAGATTATAGAGAGTCTGGAAGACGATACAGTCTCTGCTGCTCATTAGGGCAGTACTGAGGTATTACCAGGAATCCAGAATCCTGTCCCTTCTACTCTGTTTTTCTTTTTTTTTTTTTTTGACACAGAATCCAGAACCCAGAACAAGTTATTACTGGTGTAATAGAGAGTGTGTATTTGTCCTTGGGTGTATCTGTGTCGGCCTGGTTGGCACAAAGGGGCTTTGTTACAGAGGCAACAAGAAGCTGGAAAAAAACCCCCTTTGATTCTATGGTACTTGTTTCTGAGCGTAACTGTGTCATCATTTTCTCCTTTTGGATTACCAAGAGCAAGCAGTGTTTGGTTTAAAGAGACAATATGCTACCTGCATTAAATATTGCTAGGAAGTGGTTCCTTCCCATGTATGAAAAACAAATTCATGGCGAGCTACTTCAGCCTTGCCACCCACTTAATTTGTGATCTGTAATTCTATTTATGGCATAGACCTACTTTGTTGCTTCTGAGGGGTGTCCAAACACCTACTTGTGCAAGGAATAGAAGGACTTTTTATGTAGAAATGGAGTTGAAGTACTTGTACATACTTCTGGTGGTGTTCCTTGCCTTTGCTACACAGTACTGTGCGGTGTGGTCAGTGAATGTTCTTCTTCCTAGTTTTAATTTTACAGGAGAGCTCATCTCCTTTTGCTCATTTGAGCTGTGCTAGGTAATAAAATGAGTATTTACTCAAAGAGAGGGGGTTTAGTCCAATCAGTTATGTACTGCACATTGTAGATAGCTTTACATGAAAACAGGAACTCTTACCTTTCTAGGGTTGTTACTTTGTGTGAAATGTGGTTTTTCAATATAATGGTTTTCTTCCCCCCCTGCAGACTTGACTTTTGTGACAGGTTCTCACGTAGGTGAGCTAATAGTTTGGGATGCGCTTGACTGGACAAAGCAGGCATCTGAGTGCAACTTCTGGGACTCCTCTGTCCATCCAGATATACAGCCAGAAATAAAGTTATCCCAAAGCCCAAATGAAACTTCAGTTCAACACCTAACATCTGATGAGGAGGTAATAAGCTTTAAATAGAGTAAACTAATTCAAGTAAGCTAGGATGACCCTACCACAGAAGACCAACTGCTTTGTGTTTTCAGTTTCCTTGTTTTAATATGAGAGAATTCTAAATGTGCACAGCTATTTTTATACAGTCCAGAGGTTTTATATAAAATATTGGCTGTTGAGCTAACTGAAGGTTATAATATGTTGATGGTATTAGGAACTAACATAATGGACTTTCAGCAACAGCATTTCTTTTTGAGTGACAAAGATTTATTAACTGTTTACAGTACCAGTAGAGAAAAAATAAATAGGAGGTGTGTGTTTTGATGGCATACATCTTTCATATTCCATTCTTCTGGAAATGCAGTTTTCACAATAATGTGCCTCTTTGAACAGTTATATCTGAAGGTACTATGGAGTGAATTTAAGAACAGTCATATGCCAGTGCTTAATAGTAAATTAGTATTGCTCCTTCTGTTCAGATGGGCCATGCTCAGTTGTATACTCAAACGCGTGTCCAGGATCCAGGCTACTGTAATAATGTTCTGGATGTAAGTTCTTGATCGGAATACTCTGTCAGAACCCAGTTACTGTTCAGCAAACACTAAAAGTCCTCAGGTTATTACTTTGTGAAATGTTACCAACTTTTAGTGGCAACATAAAAGACGTTTCATAGTTGTCATGTAGGTCAGTTACTGGGGAATGATTAAGAAAGGGATTCCTGGAAATGTATTCAAAGATATGAGCTATAACAAAATCAAAACTGTGGAAAAGCCTGAATTCCTAAAACCCTGGAGAGAGAAACGTTGTGGGTTGTGGACAGAAAAAAAGATGTGGTTATATCTAAAGGTAGGATTTCCAGTGTGGCCAATGCTTATTTCTACAATGAGTCAAAAGCAAATTTTATTTAGGGTAAGATCTATAATTTGACTTTAAAATACTTTGATTTTCTGCTTGAAAGCTACACATGATGTGTTTTAAGGGAGAGGCAAAGAATTTTGAGAAGGTCAGAAGTTGTTAAAACATGGAGTGTGGAATCTGAGGCTACTGAAGGCTTTCTTCCATGCCTGGAACTGAACTAAACAAATTAGTGGGAATTTTATTCATCATGAGAATTTTGAATGGTGAGAAGTAAGAGTGGTTCTAGTGTTAAATCCTGAAATAGAAGGTGTTTTAAGGCAGAGCTGTGCATTGTAAAGGTCCTACCTAAAAATTGGTGAAGAAATGTATTTGTATAATGTCTTATTTTGTTACCTGCAGTCTAAAAGCAGAACGTTGTTCTTCATGTTAAAAAAAAATAATACAAAATAGGTGTTTTCTCTGTGTTCCAGGCTTGGTAGTTGGGTTGTTGGAGAAGATGAATGTGCCTAGTTTGGCCCTGAGATTGTAGGCAAAACATGATTTCAGAAACAAATGGGGTGGTAAAGGTTTGGCAATACTAGGAAACAGTGCTAGGGAGTGTATCTGCTGCCCTGATACGTGTGTGTTTCTGTTTAGTTGCCTTTTAAGACAGATGTACAATTTATGCTTCATCATCTTTTATTTTCTTGGGGTTTGAGATGACCAGGATTTTGCCAAGGCTTGTGAAAAAAGAAGAGTGCTCCATAAAAAGCTGTAAGACTGTGTGACTCATGATGGAAGAGTGATGTGGAAGACCACTGAATTTGAACATCACACAAAATAGGAAAATAATACAGATTGGCTCAGTGGGCTTTTTTTTCTTCTTGATTTGGCAATGGTGCTATCAGAAATCTGTTTAACAGTTTCAATGCTTCCAACACAGATGTACATAAGAAAAACCTGAAACTCTGAACAAAAACCTGGATAAAGAGTTTTCAACAGTGTCAAAACATTGCATATATATAGAAAATCTTAGTCAAAGACAGTAGGTTACAATTTTTACCAAATGTTGACAGATGTGTAGTGTGAACATCTTATGAGACACAGATGTTTGGGTTGTGTAAGTGGAAGCAGGCCATTCAGGGAAGTGTTCCAGCATACCATCACCTAAACAAGATATGTTCAAAACTCAAACAATGTACTGAATGGAAGCGTTTTGCATGCTCCTGGTACTGAATATTAGTCATGTGTACATACATGTGTACATTTGCCCGCTCTAAGATCATCACAACTAGCAAGAGGGTCCAGGTCCAAAGATGTGTAAGCTGTTTCTGGCTTCTCAGGGTCATGAGGGTTGTGAGATGGAATGCGTGCACTCTTCAGAAGAAAAGCATTGAGTGCAAAACATAGCATTGTGTAGTACTTTCCCATGACAGAATTCTTTTTCTGTACCTGGTAGAGCTGAAATACTTGAGCAAGGCCTCTTTGTCCAGCTTCAGTTAAGTTTCAAAAAGAGGCCAAAATGCAAAACAGCCTCCTGTATTCTCAGGCTTTCTTGATAAAACAAAAGTTTTTCAGAACACAGAGCATTATTTTAGTGTAAGAACATAAACGTTTAATTGCAGAAGTGTATTGATTTGTTTGTATCCTTGATTACTGCTTATACTGTAAGGTACTAGGTACAGGATAAAAATACAGACCTTAAATAACTGCTTAGAGTGTAGGAGGAGATCCCACATTTGCTCAAAAAAGAAAATCTGTATTTTTTCTGACTGACTAATTTCATATGTTTGGGATAAAGCAGCAACATGAGGACAGTAACAAGCTGGATAGTGCAGGTTAGATGACATCATAGTATCTCTGGAAATCTGTTACATGCAGGATGATTTTTCAGCATCTGTTTCTTCAAGTTGTTCCATTGAATTTTTTTTCCAGTGTGTGTTTGCTGCTGTTGGGAAAGGCATATACGTATATAATCTTCAAATGAAGCGTGTGATTGCCTGCCAGAGAACTGCTCATGACTCCTCTGTGCTGCACATCGAGAAGCTTCCAAACAGGTACATTTTGTTAATGCAATAAAGAAAAGCAAAACTTGGTAAGGTGACTAGACAGACTACAAAGCTGCATCTGATTTCTAGGGCAGGGACTTATCTGCAGTTCGATCTGCTTTTATTAGGTAGAGCTTGTTGATCTGGTTTTTGAAAATTCATCATTGTAATTCAACAGGAAAAAACTATAATCCAATATATCTAGAGTGGTACACAGGCTGAAAATATCTCAGCTGTTTTCAAAATCAGCTCTGATAAAGCACTTTTGTCTACATTGTGAAAATACAGCTTCATGGCATTTTACTTCTGTAAAGCAAAGGCATATGACATATTCAGTAAATATTTTTCACTAAATATTTTGTAACAATTGAAATGTTTCAACAAAAAGTAATAACTTCCAGCCTTTGTTCATTAGTGCTGAATTTCTAGCTGTAAATTGATTTGAGAGCCAACTTGAACAATTTGCTGCATATATGTATATATATGTATATATATTCTAAGAGTAGTTGTGTTAGGTTCCTTTATACTCTTGTTCAATGGAGCAAAAATCTATCAGAAGATGAAAATTAGGGCCTTGATTGTGTAAATGCATGTGCTGTTCTAAGTGTGTAATGAAATAGGGTACCTTTTCTTTTGTTATTTTTCCATAAGAAAAGGTTTTTGCTTAATGAAAATAGGCTAATGGACACCATTTAGTCGAACTGTGTTTGCAGAGTGTAAGCTTCTTCTGTTTTGTTTTACATAGTGGTATGCTTTTAAAATGGCGTTGAAAATGTTTGTTTTTTCCACCTATTCTACAAGTCTGTTATAGTTTGTTCTGCTACAGATGCACTTCGTTTGAGGTAACTCGCTATCTCCTATAGAAACATCACAAGGTGATTTGCACAGATAAGTATCCATGCTAGTGTTGCTTATCAACTGTTTTTGCAGGCAGCTGATCTCCTGCTCAGAAGATGGCAGTGTGCGCATTTGGGAACTCAGAGAAAAGCAGCAGTTGCCAGCTGAACCAGTTCCAACAGGTTTGCTAGTAGTGGGGGGGGGTGAAAAGAACATTTGAAAACATAACAGGAAACCCAGTATTCACCATATAGGAATAGAGAGGCTTTCAGGCTTTGTAAGAAGAGATAATGTCTTGTGTTCAACCAACTGATAACAGGTGTGGGAGAGAAACTGAAGAAGGCTCGGGTATATAAGCCCCTCAAGATCTGATGTGGGACATTAAAAGGTCTAGGTGAAGTAGTTCTTTGTCATAAAGCTTATTTAAAGTTTACAGTTGTATAAGGCAGTTTAACAAAAATTAGGACCTCTCCTGACGAACCTTGATCCTTCCCTCCTTGCACCAAATAATGCTGAATCCTCTGCCATGCAAGATTAAATAGTTGCAGAATCTTGTGCAGAAAGCTAGAAAAGCTTGCAGATGAACAACTGGCACAAAAAAGCAAGTGTTTTCCACATCTCTTTGAACTTGGAATGATATTGGGATTCACTTTGAGGCTGTATGTTTCATACTGCCTCTGGGCATTTCAGTCCTCAAGGCTAGTTGCTGGTGTTAGAGGGAGCATTTTCCTCAAGTACAGACATTCACAGAATCATAGAATGGGTCAGATTGGAAGTGACCACAGTGAGTCATCTGGTCAGACCTCCCTGCTAAAGCATGGTCATCCCAGAACACATGGCACAGGATTGTGTCCAGATGGTACTTTATTATCTCCAGTGAGGGAGACTCCACAACTCTCCATTGCTCTCTGGGCAGTCTGTTTCAGTGCACGGTCACACAATAAAGAAGTTGTTCTACATACTCAGGTGGAACTTCCTGTGCATCAGTTTCTACCCATTGCCTTTTGTCCTATTGCTTGGCACCACCAAGAAGAGCCTGGATCCATCCTCTTGGTACCCTCCCTTCAGATACTTAGACATTGATGAGGTCTCCTCTTAGTCGTCTCTTCTTGATGCTGAACAGGCTAACTTCCCTCAGCCTATCCAGATGTTCCAGCCCCCTCATCATCTTTGTAGCTGGACCTACTCCAGGAGCTCCATGTCTCTCTTGTCCTGAGGAGTCCAGAACTGGGTACAACACCCCAGGCGAAGCCTCACCGGGGCTGAGCAGAGGTGCAGGATCAGCTCCCTTCACCTGCCGCAATGCATTCCCTCCTGCAATGCTTTTCCTAATGCACCCCAGGATATCACTGGTCTTCTTGGCCACAAGGCCTCGCTGCTGGCTCATGGACACCTTGTTGAATTTCAGACAGTTCTTCTCTGCCCATCTCTCCAACCTGTCAAGGCCCTTCTGAAGGGCAGCACAGCCCTCTGGGGTATCAGCCACTCCCAACTTTGTGTCATCAGTGAACTTGCTGAGGAGGCATCTGCCCCTTCATCAAAATCATGGGTGAACAAGTTAAACAATACTGGCCCCAATATTGAACCTTGGGGGACACCACTAGTGACAGGCCCCTGTGCCTCTGGAATCTACTGTTCAGCCAGTTCTTAATCCACCTCACTGTCCACTCATCCAGCCCACAATTCCTGAGTTTGCCAGTAAGGATATTGGGAAAGACAGTGTTGAAAACTGTGCTGAAGTTGAGGTAGACAATATCCACTGCTCTCCTCTCATCTATCTAGGTAGAGAATGCTTCATCGCAGAAAGTAATCAGGTTGGTCAAGCATGACTTTAATGAGTCCGTTCTGACTACGCCTGATCACCTTCTAGTCCTCCATGTGGATACAGAGGGCCTCCAGAATGAGGTGCTTAATTACCTTTCTGGGGATTCAGCTGAGGCTGACTGGCTGGTAGTTCCCTGGGTCCTCCTTCTTGCCCATTTGAAGACTGGGGTGACATTTGCTGTCTTCCAGTCATCAGGCATCTCTCCTGATCTCCATGACTTTTCAAAGATGATTGTGAGCAGCCTTGCTATGGTGTCTTTCAGCTCTTTCAGCCCTGGTGCATCCCAGGTCAGGGCCCATGGCCTTGTGGATCTCAGATTTGCCTAGGTGGTCTCTAACCCAATCCTCCTTGACTAAGGGAAAGTCTTCCTTCCAGCATTCCTTTACCCTGGTTTCCTAGGTCAGAAATTCCTGAGGGCTGGCCTTGTCTATGAAGATTGATGCAAAGATCAATAACTCAGCCTTCTCTGCATCCTCTGTTATCAGGGTTCCCCCTCCATTTAGTAACAGGTCCACGTTATCACGTTATCCTTAGTTTTGCTTTTGTTATTGATGTATTTGAAGAAGCCCTTCTTGTTGTCTTTCACATCCTTGGCTACATTTAATTCCAGATGGCCTGCCTTGTCTCTTTTCTACTTGTTCTTAGAGCCTCTCTATATTCATTCCAAGTGGCATGACCCTGCTTCTGTTTCCTGTGTATTTCCTGCTTATGCTTGACCAATGACAGGAGTTCCTTTGTAGTGCTTGATACTCTTTGACCAGGCTAGCAGCTTTTCTGCACACTGGCAATTGTTGCCTTGGACAGGTGCTCTGGACAATATAATTAGTATTAAGGACTGGAAACAGCTGTAGACTTGCTCTCTTGTAGGAATTTTTTTATTCAAGCTGTGAATAATTTTCTTGATGTATCTTGTCTGTCTTGTCTACCTGGCTGTTCATCTTCTTCAACTTCTGCAAATATATTTTTGCTGCCTGGCTTGATTTAGAAACATTTTTTTCAGGAATGTTCTGTCTTCAGTATTGCTGGTGACAGCTTATCTACATGGTAACAAGTGATATTTGGCTTCACATTGGAAATTTATAACTTTTGTGAATCAAGATGTTTGAAAGAAACCTTAGTGAGATATTGCTGTTAATTTGCTCTATTTTTGTTCTAGGGATCCCCTGAGAGGTTGTTCATCTCACCAATTACATTCCGTGCACCAGGGCTATAGTTTAGCGCACTTCTAGTTTTGTGTGCTGGTGGGGCTGAGGGAAGGATTGGGAATAAAGTCTGAACTGCACTGTGAACAAAACACAACTTTCTTCTGTCAGTACTATTGCATAGTTCACCTGGTGGCTGTGGCTGTGTATTTTTGTGATCTAAATGGAACATGTGGAGTACTATCTTTATACTCCAGTTTGGCTGATAGTTTTAAATCTGAAGGAAGAAGCCAATGGGCCAACACTTCAATGCTATAGTGCAGGACACACTATAAATGGTGCCTCATTTTTCTCCTCTTTGCATAAGTAACAATTTAGGAGCACAAAGCAAAGGTGAACATTAGTGTCCTGCATCTACCTTTGCTGTTCAGTTAGTTCATTTAGGAAGTCTTTGTATTTCTTCTTAAATCTGTATACTGTCTCATCCAGGTGTGTAATTCAGCATGTTTACTAAATTATATCTAATTAGGACAAGTAGCTGTGTTTCATTCCTCCCTCAAGATAAATAATGCAGATGTATAAAAGCTGCACAGTACAATGCTTCTCTCAGTTTGCCATGTAGTGTGTCCTGCTTTTAGATTTTATGTGGCTCTTCAGCTAGAGGAAATAAATTGTATTCGTTATTTTTGCCAAAATGAGAGACTTTTCTTCCCCCAGGGTTTTTCAACATGTGGGGCTTTGGAAGGGCAAACAAGCAGGCAAACCAAGCTGCCAAGAAGATGCAAGAGAATACACCTATGTATTTCTTGGAGCTGGTTGGCGATTTGATTGGTCATTCATCAGCTGTGCAGGTAGGTCAGCTTTAGTAGGAACAAGAAAAAGTGAATGTTGGTAAGTAATGTAAATTTGACAGCATAAATTTGAGAAAACATCTGTAAAGCTGTAACTTTTGACTGTCTGGGTCTGGAGGCTGGGAGCACATTGGTATATTTAGGGCAGTATGAAAACAGTAATACATACTGACTTAGTACTGTAATGAGAACTTGTTCAGTGATGCCTGAGGACTGTGTGCACATATGTGCTACAGATAATTTGGTAGCGTATTTGGTTTCTTTTATAGACTGCAGACAGTACAACTGGCAACCACATACGTGACCCAGATTTCATCTTAAGTTCACAATCTAAACAAGGGCTCATGCAAAACAAAACACATTCAGTAATTTCTTAGCCTTCTGCGCTGTGAGCATGAAGGAGCTCTTTTAATGTTAGATCAGTTACCATTCCGTGCTTCTGTATACCTAATATAGTATGCTTTTGTTTTAAATGGCATTTTCCCTCCACACTTTTCTGTGTTTGACAATCTATTGGAGTAAGAAATCACTTTCTTACAGTGGACTTCTATACACATTCTTGGCAGGAGCAGGGGGAAAGGCAGATAGAGAGGAGTGGAGTGCTTTTGGAGTAGCTTTGCTCACAAGTATTCATGAGACTGACAGGATTTCAGAACTGCTGCTGCTGCCAAAACCTGAAAGATTTTGTTTAAAAGCTAAGGTGGTGAACGTTTCTGCTATGTTTCTTTTGAAAAATGATTGAAAGTGGTCTTATTATTGACTTGGAAAGTTGCTATCTAAGAAAGAGGACATACTGTGTAATTCAGCAAGGGACACAACATAGAAGGTGGGGGGCATATGTTGGGTTTTGGCTGGGATGCTGCAGAGCGAAGGGGTAATGGAGATGATGGTGGATGTAATTTCCTGCAACCTTCTACATATGGAAAATCATGAGGTTTTTTTTTAAACTAAGGGCAGACTAGAGCTGTTGAGGAAGAAAATGTTGAGTAGTGATGAAATGTGCTGACCGAAATAGTAAGTGGCTATTCCTAGAACAGGTAAATCTTGGCCTGAATGCTTTCCCCAAGCAGATCCCTTCAAGAAAATGAAGAGTCAGGGCACTGTGAGCATACCATAGGGACATCGCTGGTTCTGTTGGCTATTGTGTTGAACTGCAATTAGTGGTTAATTTTAGGCAGCCTTGTGAAGGTCTCAGAAATCAGGAATGACCTCATGACTTGTCAGCTCCATTGGTCTTGCAAAATCCCTCCACTGCTGCTGTACTTTTCTCCTGTGTTGCCTTTCTTGCTTGTTGGACTTCCTCTGTGTGACCAGGTATGTGCTGATGTCTGTCACTGTTGTTTGCTCTTTGATCCTTCCAGGCCTGGTGCTAGTAGTCTGCTGTGTTGTAGGGAAGGGGACAGTGTACCCAAAGAACAGAACAGACTTCTGTTCTTAAGAAACCAGATCAAAGTTCAGACAAGTCATTCACTCTTCTATTGCTGACTTCTCCAAGTTGCTTCAAGATTCTGTCTTTTATTGCTTTCTGTCCAGAATGCTTTAGTGCTTTTTTAAAATGGAGATCTTTCAGTATAAAGTTCTGTTTAAAGACTTATTTTGTGCAGTGATTTTATGACCTCTCAAATGGACAGTATGGAGTGTAATTTTGCATACCTATCTATAAGCAAAGCCATTTCAGATATGTGTATTTGTTTAGTCCAGCTGTAAACTAAATAGTTAAGCAAGTTGACCATTCGTGCACACATCATGGTAATAATAATTGTTTCATTGCAGATGTTCCTGTACTTTGGTGAACTGGGACTGGCTACATGCTCTGCTGACCACCTCATTATTTTGTGGAAGGATGGCGAACGAGAATCTAGCCTCCGCAGTTTAACATTATTTCAAAAATTGGCACAAAATGGTGATTTGCAGCTCAAACTTTAAATTGCTTGAATACAGGCTACATGTATGTAAAGTGGATGCGTGTTAAACGTGAATGTGAGGCTGAGCTACTGGGAATCGGACTACCAGTAATGCTTACACTTGATGTCATGTATTATATTGGAGATTTTATTAGTTGCTATTATTCTTCTCAAAGGAGAATTTTGCATGTTGGCTTACTCTGTCAGCAGAAATGGTGTTCTCTTGAAAGACTGAAGATAATGATGACTCATTAAATGGTTTCTAATGTTGTTCCCACATGGGTAGATGTCAAGATTTGTGAAAATCCTCAGGTGGATCATAACTAAAACAGTTGGGGGTATCCACAGTGCTGCGTGCAGAAAGGAGGCATGGCAAAAAATGTGCAGCATAAACACTAAAACACAGTAACAAAAAGACAAAAGCCAAAAACCCACAAACCAACTCAAAGCAAACAAACCAACAAAAAAAGCAAAGTTGAACCCAGAACTGATAAAAAGAAAGGGTGAGGGTGAATGAGCTAATGAGTGGTAGGTTACCATTTGAACAAGAAGAGCTAGGGAAAGGGAGAATTTGGGAACTTAGTGGGTGCTGTTCTCCTCAGGTCTACTCAGAAGGTCCAGTACTTAATGGTTCTTGAAACACAACTAAGTGTTGTGCAACTTTTGAGTCCCACATCTTCCCTTTGAATCCATGAGAATTGGTTTTAGTACTGGAGACTACAAGGCTGTAATTCCATACTTAAGATACACTGGTTGCAGTAAGTGCAATTAAAACAAAGGGCTAAGCAGATCCTGGCAAGAACAGGAGCAGAAGGAGGAAGCTCCTAGTTTCCTAGAAGAAACCAGGGAGCCTTTAGACCTGCTTTCCTCCAGTGACTGTGGGCACTTGCCTTCCTCCTACTACCTAGAAGCCAAGCTTTGCCTCTTGAGTCTGACCATAGTCTCTGGAAGGCTGGGCAGAGGGATACTAAGATTTTGAGCTGTATTTTTTTCCTACCTTAGTCAACTTGTATAGGTTTTCTTATTTTGAGTAGAGAGTTCAAAATAGCTTATTTCAAAACTACAAAACAGATGGAGAAATTGTTAAACTACCTTCTTCTTTCAATTCAGGAAGGTTAAATTAGTGTTAAAACTTGAGCTCCATGTTCTTTGCTCAGCTTGGCTCTTCTTTTGACCAGCTTAGGAAAGGCATTTGGATTACATCTGAGGATAACATACTTCTGGGTTTATGGTATTAAACTGGACAGAGAAATGCATGTTAAGTCTGCATCATTTCAGCTTGTCTTCATCAGCAAATGTTGCATTTTTGGCTTCCCCAACTCAAACTGGGGAGATGAAGTTTTTCTTTGGCTCTTTTTCTTGTTTCAATTGACAACTGTTTAGTTGTTTATAAAGGGTGTCTACACATTGTTACTAAACCTTTAGAGGGAAAGCTTATAAAAATTAGATTATTTGGAGAGAATACTGCTATCGTCAGTTATAGATAGAGAGAAGAAAGCTCATATTTTTTTATCTCTTCTTACACCATGAGAACAACCATTTCCTTTTTATGTGACTGCTTTAAGTGAATAACTGGTAGAAAAACAGACCTATTTAACTAAACAGTTCTGGTCACAAAACTCCGTGTGCAATTTACAGGGATGTAATTCATCCTTAAATAGTCATACATGCATGTATAAATATTTATATCTATCAAAAGTGCCATTGTTCTCAGATACATTCCAGTGGCAATAGATCTTCCAAGGGTCTCTTCCTTTAAAGATGGTTGAATTGAAAGTATTAAATTGAGTTCTTTGTTTTAGAAATAAACTTCGAACATAACAGTGAACATAGTAAGACTATATTATCCCATTCATCTGTTAAATGAGAATTTGTCACTTGCTGTTGGGAGGTGCAGTGAGCAGAATTATGGTGACCATATGAGAATTTTTAGTTCTTACTTATGTCCTTTTAAATTTTTTTTGCACCTTGCGGTAACACAGAATTCCGTATGTTCACACCATAAAAGCAAATATCTTTATCTGACCTACTCCTAATACTTCTACAACTCTGAGGTGACTGTTTTACACATCTGTGCACTGACAATAGCATGAAACAAGCAGCTGTTAGTCACTGGACTAGTCTAGGAGATCTCACGCAACTGGCAGATGACAATTAATCTGTGCTGATTTATTTTGCTCCTGAAGAGGACCTATCTCCACAGAGATTGCTCTTTTTTTACTTAGTCTGACTGTGGGAGGAAATACGTGATCTTGCAACAAATATATTGATTCCACATTAACACCTTGTCTTCATTTCTTGTTCACAAGTTGAACTTTATTTTTCAGATTCCTTCCACTGTTCACATTTTTTTCCTTGTGACAGAAGTGTGACAAAAATTATGAATTGAAATGTTTTACATGGATGTGGTCTTACAGTGTTGCTGTATTTAACAAATTAACAAAGCTTTGAATTTTGAGAAATTCTTTTCTCTAATGCAAGCTGCAGTGAGCATTCAGTTATCAGAATAGTTAAAGTACAACCACCGAGAGCACTAGTTCTAAATAAAGGAATGGAAAAAGCAAACAGTTTACAGTATTAGAAAACAGAGGTTCAATTAATAAGAATAAAAATCCATTGAAGAATGTTGCCATAGATAATAGGAAAGAATAAAGAAACACGCTTCACCAGAAACACAGTTCTTCAAGTATACACAACGCAGCATTTTAATACACAGCAACCTGCCTTAGCTATGACAAAAGTAAGGATCTGTTACAATTCTAACAAAAATATAGCTTATATACATTTCTCTGCACATACATTTTATGAATGTTTCCTTTTGTTTCAGAACTTGGTACAAAACATACAAAAAAGGTTGGCACATTTTGTAAGCTACCTGCAGTAAACAGCATTATCGCAATGTTACCACAGCAGTCTAAATGCTGTTTGCTTTTTGTTTGTTTGTTTTTTTGTTTCTTCTCCTTTTCCCAGTTTGATTCTTGATACAGCGTAGGGGAAGTGGACTGCTTCTTCAGCTGCAGTCACAGCTTTGACAGTCTTGCCTGAAACCTGGAGTGCACAGTGTTAAAAATCAGCAGTTCTGCCAGTATTTATTAACTGAATAATCTGAGAATAGTCTAAAATTTGAACTCATGTTCTGCATGTGATTAAAATGAGATGTACAAAAATATGCATTTGTGCTTTGAAAGCCTTAGCATAAATTTCATATCTTAAAACTAATGAAAAACTATGTTTGATTTCTAACTTATTTACATATTTTGAAGTACTTTTTACGTCACAAAACAAACCAGCATTTTATTAGGAGGATAAAGCAGTAAAAATTATAATACTGTTATAAATTATAACCTGGACATTTTTTTAAAAAGCAACAGGTTCATCCTAGAAGTAAGTAGCACAATATATGAACATATCATAAAATTTAGATCAGGTTAATAAAAGTGATGACCATGCGTACAAACTCCACTTTATAAAAAAAGTATGGTGATCAATTACCACAATAGTTTTTGTGTAAAATATGGTGAAATCTTGCATGATAATGTCTGTAAGATGGCAGAGAACTGTGTGGATGGCACCAGCTATACAGAACATGCTTATTTTCCTTCATTATATGATCAGTTTTAGGGGACGTTGACTCCTACCAAGATTTTATATGGAAAAGAAAGAACAGGTGGTGCTCAGAGAGAGAGTCTCTATAATAAGGTTGTTTTAAAAGGTGCCAGGTTTGGGTTTTTTACTATATCCAGTTTATTGAGGTTTATTTGTTCTACTGTGCGTATTCTTTTAGAAGTATGGTTCAGAGAGCTGAAGAACATTGATAGAATTGGAACAAATTTATACAAGATAAGTGGGAAATTTTTATGCTTATTTGTAAGGCTGTTCTCACTGTCCTGGTAACTACGTTGCCCTTCTATCAGAGAAAGAGTTGTGTGAAGTGTTAGTGAGTACAGGTGTATCAACTACAAGATTCAACAAGTGCATATTCAGTATTAGAAATTAGTTACAGAAGTACATTTTCTGCCACAAAATATTATTTCCAAAGAGCACTTAGTCATCTGTGGATTATATAGCCTCATTGAAAAACATTTTTCTGTAGAATTCAGAGAAGCTTAAAAATTATGAGTAAAATATTTCCATCTTGTTATGTAGTTTTAATTTCACTGGAAAGGTAATATCATCCCCTTTGTAGCCAAGAGTCCATAAGTAATTCACAGTGAAACTGGCAGAGCAAGTGGTCTTTTTTTTGGATTTTGTGTCAGTTGATGTTTTCTGATGGAAGCCTGAGACTCTTGCACTTTAAATCATCCAGTGTTTTCCAGTGTTTGTAGTTATTAGCCAGGTGTTGCATCAAAACAGGCAGATGTGCAAATGCTGAAAGAACAGGAGAAACAGTTGTACTGTGTATACAGAATGGGCAGAAGAACAGCCCAACTGCATCTGAAATTGGCATTCGTCTACTTTTTTTGTTTCTTCAGTTCCTTAAACTAATACTAAAAGGGGAAAGTTTTTTATACTGTGTTCTCTTTCAAGAAAATCTCTTTCTTAATGCAGGCTGACTTTATTAAATTATGCTAACATGCAACCACATTGGTCTTAGCTTCTGCTGCTCAGAAGAAAAACATTGTTTAAGGAAAAAAAAAGTAGATGAGAAAAAGCTTATTTTTAAACCATTACTCTTCCTCTACCTAGATTGTCTGGTAAGAGCTCAACTTTTATAAAGTGTGTTGTTTGCAGTGAAACGGTCTTCAGCAGTATCACTGCACAGTATCCTGTACTGTACTGCTTCTATACAGGTAATGACCCTCAAAAAAGTGGACTCAAGGCCAGCTTGAGATGAGTCATTTTAGTCTGTAAGAATATCTGCTTCAGACCAAGGAAGAAAAAGTAAGCAGAAGTACTTACCATCCCACGCATCAAACATATCTGTTATAAAATAATCAATGAAGGAAATCTGAGACTTGGGGATGCTGCAGGTGTTTCTGTCAAATACTGGCATTACAACAGGCAGACCCTGTCTCTTCTCTTCATCAGTCTAAGAAGACAAAACTCTAATTAGCCACTAAAGCTTTGCTGACTTTCATGCTGGAGTAGCAAAGCTGTAGGAGATTTAACACAAACCTTAGACCCCCTGAGGTGAACTGCCTCAGTTTCATGTGTGTTATTTCATCTGGAACAGGGATTGAAATCAACATCCCTTCCCATTCACAAGTACTGTTATTTTTGTAGTTCTGTGATTGCACTTAGCTCTAGCAAGACAGAATGCTCTTATCAGGTGATTAGGGTACTCCAGCTGAAAAATGGAAAATGGGGTTGCAGAGTCCTTTAGCAGAGGACTCCATTTTTCCACATCTCTAGTGGCTGTTTCAAACCATTTGTCTTTTAAGTAAGAAGAGGCTGTTGCTGAGGCTACTTTCTCTGCTGGTATTAAGTTATAAGGTGAATGGAAGAAAAGGTATGCCCTTTAACTCTGCATCTACAACTGGCCACTCCCGGGCAGGTGGAGCTCGTTAGCCCTTAAAAAGGCAACCCATCTACGTCCTGAGGACCTCGCTGCCACCGTCCAAGCTCGCTTGGCCCCGGCAGATGAACCTTAGGATTAAAGGGTGGGCTCAGTTCCGCGCACACTGTGTCTCACCTAAAAAATCCAATGCGCAGGCTGGAAGGTGTAAAGACCTTCCCCAGATCTTCGCTCGCGAAGACTGGCCATTATTATTATTATTACAACTGGAACAAGGCTTGTTTTGTTGCACTCAGTATGGTGGAGGATCAAATCACCTCAACTGTTTCTTAGAACTAAATTACAAACCAAAAAAATGTCCCATTTTAAGAAGTACAGACAGCACCTATGCTGGAATGAGCAGCGTAGCAGTCCTCAAAATAAGCAGATGAGTTGAATGAACAGCAGAACAGTTCTCAGCACCTCACATTGCTGCATGTAGGCTAGTGCCTAAGCTGGGCTGTTTAAAGCTAGCTCATGATACCTTGACTGCTAGGGAGATACAACCTAAGTGATCCTTGATCTTACTTAGGGCATGACAGAATTGATTCACTGTGATTAAAATGAAATTCAGACATGTCCTAAGTACTTGTTACAATTTTCTTTTAGTAATAACTATCAGATGTATGATCTGAATTTGGATGGTAGGCATGCCCACTTTTCTGTCTCTCGACTCATAGCTGCTGATTTCTGTACCATTAGTGGCAAAAAAAGACTAAGATTCTTATTGGTTATTCAAATAAAAAACTGGAAGCGTATTTCACTTTCAGGAAGCTGGTACATATCTGTCAGAAAAAATGAGTGTGAAGAGTGAAGTTGAGCTTTCAGTTCTGTCTGGAGAGACCCCATGCCATAAGTATTTACATTGGCCATGTGCCTCCACTGCTCATCTGCCTACCCTGACAATAGTTCAGGTTCTACCTTAGAAGAGAAAGGGCCATCCCAGTGGTTCAGCTGAGGGCTGCATCAGGCATAGATCTTCATGCTTCCTTCACTGGGACTAGAAGCTAGAATGGTGATGGTCTTGAATTTCAGCCAATGAAATTGACTAAGACTAATCAAATAATTTTGTTTCAGCCAGATGAAGAAAGTTGAAAATGTAAAACTTCCTTTTCACCATTCTGTACAATGAGCTTTATGATGAACAAACTAGCTAACTGCCTGTCATGAATTCTTCTGCATGAAACTGATGGGCCAGTTCTGGCTGGGAACAAAAAAAACACATCTGGACTCTGGTGACACCAGGCAGATCCTGTGTGGAACTGCAGAGCAGCTGGTGTGCATTTTCTTACATAATATAATGGTCAAATCATAAAAGTATACGTACCTGTGCAAAATACTCCTCTGAAATCCTCCCTGCCCATTCGATACACAGCTCTAGAGGGCGACATGGATTTGCTACATCTGCACATTTAATCATCATGCGTTTGATCAGTGTCTGATTGTCTGGAAAATTCTTTATATTGGCTGTACATTCAGTGTCGCTGCCTTCGCTCTGTAAAGGAGAGACGACTACAGTGACCATGGGCCACATCCCCCGCTGGCAGGAGTGAGGGCGTTATTATCAGCTCTCTGCACTTGGGCAGTAAGCGGGCACTCAGTCTGCCACCTTCTAATGTCATGCAGAGCACCAGGAATTTGGAGAAGAAAGTGATGCCTGAGAACTGCAGCCTTGCTAAGTAACTAATTGTAACTCTAATACATATTACAGTTGTGAAGAGTCTGAGAATTAACAGCTAAATTTGTAAAATAAAGAGCTATAGGCTCTTTATCAGGTAGGAAGTTAC